AGGGATTGAGCTAGAAGTTTGCCCGCCTTACCTCCTTTAGTGTAGTAGGTATGTTTAGTTAGCGATAGTCTACGTTTAGCGTGCAAAAGTAATAGTGTTGTAAGTTCTGATCTCTTGGATAGGATCGCTTTGTAGGCCTCTAAATTGGAGTTTTGTTTGTGGTGGTTGTTTTCTAGTGCCTTTAGCTCCCGTGTTAATAATCTAGGAGTAGGACCTACTAAAGATGGGGTACATTGACGTTGTGGCAGGCTTATGCAATGTATGATCATATAATGTAACTAAACCCCCATTATTTTTGCCTAGATTAGGTGTTTTTAAAAAAACTAATAAAATCTGTCAACATTGAAGTTGCTGTTTAGTATATAAGTGAGTGCGCTGGATCTTGTGTATTGTATAAATTGGCCCCCAGCAGCACCCCATTTATGCATGTTTAGGTGAGTGCAGCCTTCTGGTTTCATATATATATATGAGAAGCCTGAGCCGTTAGGCGCAGCCTGTAGTTGTGGGAGGAGTTATCCAGCCTATAAATACACAGACCTCCCCTATCTCTGTGCTGAGACTGTCTTGTTCAATGCAGATCCATCTACTTCCTGTTCAAAGGTCATCAACACAAACTGTTGGTGTTTTATGTGTGATATTCTGGCGTTTAATCAAAATATAAAAGATTTTATTTCTGATAGCAGCTGGTTGGAGCCCAGCTGTGAAGAGGGAGTAGTAGGCTCCTCTCCCTAGACCCGGTGCTGCTGCTGGAGGGGGAGACCGACTGTCTCCCCTTTTGATAAACAGTCCTGCTGCTGGGGATCTGGACCGGCTACCCCGCACGCCTGTAGACCAGGTGCAGAGTCTGCGGTCCCATCTGCCCCATCTGGGAGAATAAGGTCTCCCCTTTGAGAAATAAGCTCCCGCTGGGGAGAGGTGGTAACCGGCTTCTCTCCCTGATACTCTCTCCGATGTTGGAGAGGGGGACCGACTGTATCCCCTTCCTGTAATACACTCTGCCACTGGGGAGAGAGGGTTCTGTGCTCCTCTCCCTGAAACACAGCCTGCCGCTGGAGAGGGAGACCTACTGTCTCCACTCCAGTAACATTGTCCTGCTGCTGGGGAGAGAGACCAACTGTCTCTGCTCCCTGTAGGACACACTGCTGGGGGGGAAGGACGACACCTTCGGCCCCCTGGAACTCACACTGCCGCTGGGGAGGAAGGACGTCACCTTCGGCTCCCTGGAACTCATACTGCCACTGGGGAGGAAGGACGACACCTTCGGCTCCCTGGAACTCACACTGCCGCTGGGGAGGAAGGACGGCACCTTCGGCTCCCTGAAACTCACACTGCCGCTGGGGAGGAAGGACAACACCTTTGGCTCCCTGGAACTCACACTGCAGCTGGGGAGGAAGGACGGCCCCTTCAGCTCCCTGGAACTCATACTGCCGCTGGGGAGGAAGGACGACACCTTTGGCTTCCTGGAACTCACACTGCCGCTGGGGAGGAAGGACGACACCTTCGGCTCCCTGGAACTCACACTGCTGCTGGGGAGGAAGGACGACACCTTCAGCTCCCTGGGGCGCACACTGCCGCTGGGGAGAGTGACCGGTTGTCCCCTCTCCCTGGAACTCACACTGTCGCTGGGGAGGGAGGTCGATGCTCTCCGCTCCTTGACACTCACAACTGCCCAGCATCCCTGTAGGGCCCGTAGAGAGACCACGGTCCCATCTCTACCTGCTGGCTGGGGTTCCTCCCAGTAAACCTCTACGATATCCTTCCAGCTGAAGGGCTCTAGACCTGGTTCTGCTACCCAGTTCTCTAGCTCTGCTTGCAGGGTAGACTCGGGCTGAATGGCGCTTAGCAGGCGTTGGTAGGCCTGCTCCAGTTCCCACTCCATGGTTGCCAGGTGCATCATGTCTGGTTTCACCGCGCAGTCGACAGGCCAATCGTGCATGCCCATCCTGTAGTCAAGGATGTCCCAAAATCGGAAATCCTCAGTGCTGCCGAAATCAGGCTCCTCCTCCATGGCATCCAGTAGTAGACCAGGACCATCGTCTTCGTCCCCCTCAGGCCTGTCGAGCTCCTCCATCTCGGGGTTATGCTGCCCTGTATACCACCAGAGGGCCTGGTAGGCGTCCTCCAGCCAAATCTTCTTCCATACCAGTCTCTTGAGCTCTGTTACCAGGGGCTGCTCGTCCAGGGGCTGCTCTCCTAGGAAAGACATTCGTAGAGCCACTTGCCTCTCTTTCCGCTGCTCTTCACTGGGGAGCCTCTCACCTCGCTGACGCTGCACATCCTCCAGGGCTTCGTCCCAAAGTTCCTTTCTGGCCGCCTCCCGGTAGTCCATCATGGCCTCCTCTGATATAGGCCAATCCTGCAGGGACAGGAGCACCTGCAATCTCCAGTGAAACTCTTCCTCCATATTGCTGTAGATAGGGATACTGCACGGTAGCTAGCTCTATCGCTCTATTTGTAACTCCACACGTTACCGGTGTCTCCGAGCTGCTTCTCCTCGCACTAGGACGCCATTCCACTGCTGCCATCAATGTAACGGATCACCAGGACCCTGACTGGGTACCTCTGTTGAAGGATGCCCCTAGCGCTTCCTGAGGGCTCCAAGCACTCCAGCCGACACCATAACCACCGTGGACTCCTTCAGAGAGCAGGACTAGAACAAGCTCTTACAAGAGCTTAGCAGTGAATATAGCAAGGGAGTATGCAGAGCATAGCAATCCCTTGTAGCAGATTCCCCCAATAAGAGACAGCACTCCAAATTGAGGGTGAAGTAGAACTGTCTAAAACTTTATTTTCCTTGGGACTAGCCCATATGGTCATTACATTAACATTGCTGTGAAAATACATATGTATATTTCAAGTATGCTGATTCTGAAAATGTATGTTTTATGTGAATGGCATGTATATTTTGGAAGTTATTAACATTTTGTAAAAAACTGTATATTTTCTGCCTGTGATAATTAAGTCAGTCTATTGTGTTGAGATAATTGTATCACAGGCAGAGGGGAGAATTTCTGATGTAATGAATGGGAGTGTTATCTGTGTTGTAATGTTGTGATTGGGTGGTCCTTTTTGTGTAAGAATGTGTTTCATTAAAAGTTCTACTTCACCCTCAATTTGGAGTGCCATCTCTTATTGGGGGAATCTGCTACAAGGGATTGCTGTGTTTGTCATACTCCCTTGCTAAATCACTACTAAGCTCTTGTAAGAGCTTGTTCCTGCCTTCCTCTCTGGAGGAGTCTACGGTGGTTATGGTGTCTGCAGAAGTGCTTGGAGTCCTCAGGAAGCGCGAGGAGCATCCTTCAACGGAGGTACCCAGTAGGGGTGCCCATCGATCCATTACACGGAAGCTCATTCATCCAAAGAAATGCTTGTTTGGTCGGGGGTGTGGTACAAACAGTGGTGGCTCTAGAAACTCAAACATGAGGCCCCTTCTAACACCCAAAGTGGAAAAAAAAAATAGGGCTTGCATTGTGTGTATCAGGTGCTGTAGTTGTATTGAAGGACAAGCTTGCAGTGCTGGATACAGAGAGCTAGTCTCTGTATTCATTGTTCAGAGGCTTGCAGTGTTGCGTCTCTGTGCTGTATTTGGGAGTGTCAGACATTGTTGTTCTGATTGGTTTGTGTGCCTGTGTACCATCAGGTCTGAGGAATTGTATAAATTGTGAGTGCTGGCTTGCATTAAACAGACCTGTTCTACCCTTCATGAAGTCTTGGCTCATGTTTGGGGGAATGGAGAACTACACTCTGGGGATTGCTATAATCACTATACTACCAAGAGTATAATCACTTGCTCTTATTTTGCTAAGAGTTTTCTTTTCTACTGTTACAGGTAAGATTCATATGTAGGAAAAGGTTACTGATTCCCCAAGGTTTGATTTCCTGTTGGTAATTGGTACGGCATTTTATTTGATTGCTGGTTAATTAGCTATTGTTTGCAAATAAGCATAGGCCTACCCAGGTGTTAAACATTCCTAGTGGGTGGTACTTCACCTCTTTAAAATGGCAGACTTAGTTCAGTGTAATAGTTGTTATGCATTTGTTTCACGTTCCACTTTTTGGAGATTTGGATGCTGTCTAATCTGTAGACAGTTCTCTATATTGCGGCAGGAGATTGTATTTTTGAAGTCTGAGATTTGTAAATTATCTGCTAAACAAACGCAGGCTGGAACTGCTCGAAAACCACCGCCGCAGAGACGTACCAGGAATGGCAGATGGATTACTGTAGGATCTGGTAGACTTAGAGTTGTGAATGAAAGACATATTGCACAGCCTGTTGCTATACATAATTCATTTTCTGCACTTTCAGAGTGTTATGGTGCTATGGAGACATTCTCATGCACCAGGTGTAGTGGTGTTGTGGAGACAGGCTCAGGCACTGAGGGTTGTGGAGTTGTGGAGACAGGCTCAGGCACTGAGGGTAGTGTTGTTGTGGAGACAGGCTTGGAGACTATGGTGAGGTGTAATAGAAAGCAGTTGTTGTTGGGGGATTCCATCATAAGAGGTGTGGAGATGGACAATGGTGGTCTTGTGAGATGTCTTCCCGGAGCTACTGCTCACAGAGACAGGAGACGTATTTGTAATATTGTTAAGCGAGCAAAGCAGGAAGGGGAATTGGATGTACTTGTCCATCTAGGGACAAATGACTTGGCTTGCAATGAGGTTTCAGAGGTTAAGGAAGTTTTTAGTGTTTTTGCCAATGATATACGGCAGGTTGCTTCCACACTGTCATTCTCTGAAGTTCTGCCTGTGCATAACACTCAGAACGACAGGCGGATGCGTATTAGGGACTTTAATTTGTGACTTGGTGAATGGTGTCTGGAGCAAGGATTTGGCTTTATTTCTCATGGTAGCTCTGTTTGGAATGGAAATAAACTGTACAAAAAAGATGGTTTGCATCTTTCTCAAAAGGGAACAAATGTTCTCAGTGAGCAGTTCAGAGGTTTTGCTAGGATGTATTTAAACTAGGAGGGGGTGGGGGCAAAAGAGTGATAAAACATCAATCCAATTGCCCCCCAAAACAAGGACAGAATGTGCCTGTAGCAAGTGTGTTAAAAAATGATAAGCTTGGAGTCATGTCTACAAATGCTCGCAGTTTAGGGAATAAGATCCATGAACTTGTGGCAATAATGGCAGCTGATAATGTAGATTTAGTCGCTGTTACAAAGACATGGTATAATGAGAAAAATGACTGGGATATAGCAATAGCAGGGTACTCTTTATATAGAAAAGATAGGGCAGGCAAGAAAGGGGGAGGGTTGGCCCTGAATGTAAAGGATAGCATAAAATCTAGCCTAATAAAAGTTAGTGAGGCGAACATAGAGTCCGTTTGGGTTACTTTAGAATTTGGTAATCACACAGTAACTCATATAGGTGTGATTTATAGGCCCCCAGGACAAATAGAAGAGCTAGATAATCTACTAGTTGAGGAAATAGCTAAAATGACAATGAAGGGGGAAGTTATCATCATGGGTGACTTTAATCTCACTGATGTAAATTGGAAAACAAAATTAGCTACTTGTGCCAGGAGCACACATATTCTAAACTACCTACTGGGATTGTCTCTAAAACAAGTCGTTGAGGAGCCAACTCGTGAAGAGGCCATACTAGATTTAGTGTTAACAAATGGAGATTTGGTATCAGATATTACTGTAGGTGAAAGTTTAGGATCCAATGATCATCAGTTAGTGTGGTTTAATATAAGAACAGTGACTGAGTCACACCACACAAAAACAAAAGTTTTAGACTTTAGAAAACAGACTTTTCTAAAATTAGAATATGGGTAGAGGAGTCATTATCAGACTGGAGCAATTTAAATGGAGTCCAAGAGAAATGGGATTATTTAAAAGTTGCACTATTGAAGGTCAGTAAAAGCAAAACATTCAAGAAACCACTGTGGTACTCCGCACATGTGGCCTAAATAGTAAAAAACAAAAAGTTAGCATTTAGTAATTATAAAAAAAAAACAGAGTGGGGAAGAGAGAATGATCTAGAAGATTAGGCAGAAAGAAGCTAAGCAAATTATAAGAGCTTCCAAATCACACACAGAAGAAAAAATAGCACAGTCAGTAAAAAAAAAGGGGAAAAAACATTTTTTAGATACATAAATGAGAAAAGAAAAGTAAAACAAGGATTAGTTAGATTAAAAACAAAAGAAGGAAGGTATGTAGAAGAGGATAAAATTCTAGCTGACTGCCTCAATGAATATTTTTGTTCAGTATTTACAGATGAAAATTAAGGAAAGGGACCTCAGTTAGGAAAAAGGACAAATGAGTCATGTATGTGAGTTTACAGAGGAAGAGGTTCTATTTCAACTGTCAAAAGTAAAGACAAATACGTCAATGGGACCTGATGGAATACAACCAAAGTTAATAAAAGAGCTTAGTGGTGTACTAGCAAAACCATTAACAAATTTATTTAACCAATCATTAACAGGAGTAGTCCCAGAAGATTGGAAGTTAGCGAATGTTGTGCCCATTCACAAGAAAGGTAATAGGGAGGAGTCGGACAACTATAGGCCAGTAAGCCTTACTTCAGTAGTGGGGAAAGTGATGGAAACCATGTTAAAGGATAGGATTGTTGAACATCTAAAATCACATGGATTTCAAGATCAGCGACAACATGGGTTTACTTCAGGGAGATCATGCAAAACTAATGTTATTGATTTTTTTTTTTATTGGGTAACTAAAATAATAGATCAGGGTTGTGCAGTAGACATTGCTTACCTAGATTTCAGAAAGGCTTTTGACACATAGAAACATAGAAACATAGAATGTGACGGCAGATAAGAACCATTCGGCCCATCTAGTCTGCCCAATTTTCTAAATACTTTCATTAGTCTCTAGCCTTATCTTATAGTTAGGATAGCCTTATGCCTATCCCACGCATGCTTAAACTCCTTTACTGTGTTAATCTCTACCACACTGTTGCTCATAGAAGGCTTATCAATAAACTGCAATCTTTAAGTTTGGATTCAAATATTGTTGAATGGGTAAGGCAGTGGCTGAGTGAGAGGCAACAGAGGGTTGTAGTTAATGGAATATATTCGAAGCTTGGACTTGTCACCAGTGGGGTACCTCAGGGATCTGTACTTGGACAGATTCTCTTTAATATTTTTATTAGTGATATTGCAGAAGGTCTTGATGGTAAGGTATGTCTTTTTGCTGATGATACTAAGATATGTAACAGGGTTGATGTTCCAGGAGGGATAAGCCAAATAACAAATGATTTAGGTAAACTAGAAAAATGGTCAGAATTGTGGCAACTGACATTTAATGTGGATAAGTGCAAGATAATGCATCTTGGACGTAAAAACCCAAGGGCAGAGTACAGAATATTTGATAGAGTCCTAACCTCAACATCTGAGGAAAGGGATTTAGGGATGATTATTTCTGATGACTTAAAGGTAGGCAGATAATGTAATAGAGGGAAGTGCTCATGCCATTGTACAGAACACTGGTGAGACCTCACTTGGAGTATTGTACACAGTACTGGAGACCATATCTCCAGAAGGATATTGATACTTTAGAGAGAGTTCAGAGAAGGGCTGCTAAATTGGTTCATGGATTGCAGGATAAAACTTACCAGGAAAGGTTAAAGGCTCTTAACATGTATAGCTTGGAGGAAAGACGAGACAGGGGGATATGATAGAAACATTTACATACATAAAAGGGAATCAACACAGTAAAGGAGGAGACAATATTTAAAAGAAGAAGAACTACCACAACAAGAGGACATCGTCTTAAATTAGAAGGACAAAGGTTTAAAAATAATATCAGGAAGTATTACTTTACTGAGAGGGTAGTGGATGCATGGAATAGCTTTCCAGCTGAAGTGATAGAGGTTAACACAGTAAACTCCACAGTAAAGGAGTTTAAGCATGCATGGGATAGGCATAAGGTCAGGGGCGGACTGAGAGCATTTGGGGCCCCCGGGCAAAATTAGATCCCAGGCCCTTTGAAGGCCAAATATATGTGCATTAAATAAATGTTAAATAAATAATACAGCATTCCTTTGGATGTGTATATTGTGAAGACCTGTGTATCAATGCATGTTTGTATTTGAGTCTGTGTGAATGCACTTGTGCATGTTGGGATGACTACATGTGCTTTTTTGTATATAGTGTCTGTGTGAATGCATATGTCACAGGTGACAGTGTGTGAGGGAGAAGGTGACAGGTGGAAGAGTGTGGGAGGTTGTGACAGGTGGCAGAGTGAGGGGGTACCTGGTGGCAGAGTGAGGGAGGGAGGGGTTGAGTGGTGGCAGAGTGAGGGGGAGACACAGTGAGTGGGGGTGACTAGTGACATAGGGAGGGAGAGGGGGTGACTAGTGACAGAGTTAGGGAATGGGTGACTAGTGGCAGAGTGAGGGAGGGAAAAGATGACTAGTGGCAGAGTGAGGGAGGGAAAAGATGACTAGTGGCAGAGTGAGGGAGGGAAGGGGTGACTGGTGACAGAGTGAGGGGATGACTGGTGACAGAGTGAGGGAGTGACTAGTAACAGAGGGAGGGAGTGACTAGTGACAGAGGGAGGGAGGGAGGGGATGACTGTCTAGTGACAGTCACCCCATCCCTCTCTCTGTCACTAGTCACTCCCTCCCTAACTCTGTCACTGTGTCACCCGCTCCCTCACTCTGTCACTAGTCACCCCCTCCCTCACTCTGTCACTAATCACCCCCTCTGTCCCTAGTCACCCCCTTCCACACTCTGTCACTAGTCACCCCATCCCTCTCTCTGTCACTAGTCACTCCCTCCCTAACTCTGTCACTGCGAAGGAAGGAAGGGGTGACTGGTGATAGAGTGAGGGGATGACTGGTGACAGAGTGAGGGAAGGGATGACTAGTGGCAGAGTGAGGGAAGGAAGGGATGACTGGTGACAGAGTGAGGGAATGACTGGTGACTAGTGACCGAGTGAGGGAGGGAGTGGGTGACTAGTGACAGAGTGAGGAAGGGGGTGACACAGTGATAGTCACCCCATTCCTCCCTCTGTCACTAATCACCACCTCGCTCACTCTCACTAGTCACCCCTTCCCTCCCTCACTCTGTCACTAGTCACACCCTCCCTCTCTCTGTCACTAGTCACACCCTTACTCACTGTCACTAGAGTGAGGGTGACTAGTAACAGAAAATAGTGACAGTGATAAGTGAGGAAGGAAGTGACACTAGCGGCAGAAATGAGGAAAGGGAAGGAGTGACCAAGTAGCGGGTAGAGGATGACTTAGTGACAGAGTGAGGAGAGTGACACAGTGACGGAGAGGAGGTGGTGACCTTTAGTGACAGAGTAGAGGCCACTAGTCACCCACCTCCTCACTCTTCAATCACCCTCCCTGTCACTAATCCTGCCCCTACCCCAACTGTACACCTCACTCTGTCACTAATGCCCCCTCACCTCTAATGACAAGTGAGGTGGCCCCAGAAGTGACAGAGAGGTAGGTGACTGTGACAAGTGAGAGAGTGGTGAGGTGGCAGAGGAGGATAGGGGTGACAGTGGCAGTCACCACCTCCCTTCACTCTGTCACTATTACCACTACTCTGTCATTGTAACCCACTCCCTCCTTCACTCTGTCACTAGTCACCCCCTCCCTCACTCTGTCATTGTGTCACCCACTCCCTCCCTCTGTCACTAGTCACCCCCTCCCTCACTCTGTCATTGTGTCACCCCCTCCCTCACTCTGTCATTGTGTCACCCACTCCCTCCCTCACTCTGTCACTAGTCACCCCCTCTCTCACTCTGTCACTAGTCATCACCTTCCTTACTGTCACTAGTCACACACTCCCTCTCTCTGTCACTAGTCACACCCTCCCTCTCTCTGTCACTAGAGTGAGGGGGTGACTAGTGACAGAGGGAGGGGATGACTGGTGACAGAGTAAGGGACGGAGGGGGTAACTAGTGACAGAAGGAGGGAGGGAGTAGTGACAGAAGGAGGGAGCTGGTGACTAGTGACAGTCACCACCTCCCTCACTCTGTTACTAGTCACGCCTTCCTTCCCTCACTCTGCCACAAGTCACCCCTTCCCTCACTCTGTCACTAGTCACCCCCTCACTCTAGTGACAGAGTGAGGGAGGGTGTGACTAGTGACAGAGTGATGGAGGGTGTGACTAGTGACAGAGTTAGGGAGGGAAGGGGTAACGAGTGACAGAGGGAGGGGTGACTAGGGACAGAGTGAGGGAGATGGTGACTAGTGACTAGTGACAGTCACCACCTCCCTCACTCTGTCACTAGTCACCACCTCCTTCTGTCACTAGTCACCCCCTCCGTCCCTTACCCTGTCACTAGTCACCCCCTAACTCACTCTGTCACTAGTCATTCCCCTCTCTCTCTGTCACCAGTCATCCGCTCACTCTGTCACCAGTCACCCCTTCCTTCCCTCACTCTGCCACTAGTCACCCCTTCCTTCCCTCACTCTGCCACTAGTCACCCCTTCCCTCACTCTGTCACCAGTCATCCCTTCACTCTAGTGACAGAGTGAGGGATGGTGTGACTAGTGAGGGAGGGGGTGACTAGTGACAGAATGAGGGAGGGGGTGACTAGTGACAGAGGGAGATGGTGATTAGTGACAGAGTGAGGGAGGTGGTGACTGTCACTAGTCAACCCATCCTTCCCTCTGTCACTAGTCACCCACTCCAGCACTCTCACTAGTCACCCCCTCCCTCTGTCACTGTGTCACCCCATCCCTCCCTCTGTCACTAGTCACCCTCTCCCTCACTCTGTCACTAGAGTAAGTGGGTGACTAGTGACAGAGTGAGGGAGGGGGTGACTAGTGACAGAGTAAGGGAGGGAAGGGGTGACAGAGTGAGTGAGGGAAGGGGTGACTAGTGACAGAGTGAGGGAGGGGGTTACTAGTGACACAGTGGGGGGTGACTAGTGACAGTTGGGGGGTGACTAGTGACAGTAGGGGGGTGACTAGTGACAGTGACGGGGGTGACTAGTAACACAGTGAGGGGGTGACTAGTGACAAGAGGGGGGGTTACTAGTGACAAGAGGGGGGTGACTAGTGAGA